GATCACAACAAATTGAAAAATTCTTCAAGAGATGAGAATACCTGACCACCTTACCTGCCTCCTGAGAAACCTATATGCAGGTCAAGAAGCAACAGTTAGAGCCAGACATGTAACAATGGACTGGTTCAAAATTGGGAAAGGAGTATGTCAAGGTTGTATACTGTCACCCTGTTTATTTAACTTATATGCAGAGTACATCAAATGAAATGCCAGGCTGGATGAAGCACAGGCTGAAATCAAGATTGCCAGGAGAAATATCAATAACCTCAGTTATGCAGATGACACCATCCTTATGGCAGAAACCGAGGAGGAACTAATGAACCTCTCAATGAAAATGAAATTGGAGATGAAAACACTGGCTTAAAATGCAACATTCAAAAAATAAAGATGATGGCATCTAGTCCCATCACTTCATGACAAATAGATGGGGAAACAATGACAGATTTTATTTTCTTGGGTTCCAAATTCACTGCAGATGGTGACTGAAGCCATGAGATTAAAAGACACTTGCTCCTTGGAAGAAAAGCTATGACCAACCTAGATAGCATATTAAAAAGCAGAGATATCACTTTGCCAAGAAAGGTCAATATAGTCAAAACTATGGTTTTTCCTGTAGTTATGTATGGATGTGAGAATTTGACCATAAAGAAAGCTGAGCGTGAAAGAGTTGATGCTTTTGAATTGTGGTGTTGGTGAAGCCCTGAGAGTCCCTTGTACCAGAAGAGTATCAAACCAGTCAATCCTAAAGGAAAGCTGTCCTAAATATTTATTGGAGGGACTGATTCTGATGCTGAAGCTTGAGTACTTTGGCCTCCTGACGCGATGAACTGTCTCATTTGAAAAGACCCTGATGCTGGGAAAGATTGAAGGCAGAAGGAGAAGGGGACAACAGAGGATGAGACGGTTCTTTGGCATCACCGACTTGATGGATGAGTTTGAACAAGGTCTGGGAATTCACGATGGACAGGGAAACCTGGCATGCTGCAGTCCATGGGGTCGCAAAGAGTTGGGCATGACTGAATGACTGAACTGAACACTTTTAAAGGAATGCTTTTAGTGTCTGTGTTGAATAGATTATAGTGAAGCGAGAGTATAAGCAATGAGGAAGTTAGGAGATTATTGCAGCAATGCAAAAAGAATTGATGATAATTTGCTCTTATATGTTCCCAGTGGAGGTGGTAAAAATTGTTAGATTCTGAATATGCATGTGTATATCATAAAATTGGAGCCTATAAAATTTAGTCATGGATTCTATGAGAAGTAAAAGAAATGAATCTTGGATGATCCAAAGTTTTTGGACTAAGTAATGAAAAGATGAAATTAATTTTGAAGGAGAGGGAGAAGTTTGATGATGGAATGGGTTTAGAGGAAAGATAGGATGTTCTGTTTGGAGATGTTGTTTTAGACATTTAAGTCTTGATTTTGAATAAGTTGTGTATAGAATTCTAGAGGGCTTTCTGGTGGTTTAGTGGTAAAGAATTCACCTGTATTGCAGGAGCCACAGGAGATGCCACAGGCATTTGATCCCTGTGTTGGGAAGATGCCCTGGAAGAGAGAAGGGCTAACTGCTCCAGCATTCTTACCTGGAGAATCCCATTGACAGAGAAGCCTGGCAGGCTACAGCTCTTAGGGTCACAAAGAGTCAGACTGACTGAAGCAGGAGCCTGATAGGAGTCGAGAATTTAGAAAAGACTTATAAAAGAAGATAAACACTTTGAATATGAATAACATTGAAAGCCAAGAGACTGGATGAGAAGATAAATAGACTGTATAAATAGAGAAGAAAAGAGGAGTAAAGATTAAGTGATGAGATATGAAAAGATTAAGAAGTCAGCAGGAGAAGCTAAATTTGCCAAGGAAGCAAGCACTGAGAAGCACTTAAAAGAAGCACTGAGTGAAACAATGAAAAAAAAATGAAGATCAAGATATCATGTTATTCTAGAAGTTAAGTGAAGAAAAGATCTCAAGGATAAGGGGATAAATAGCTAATCAAATTCTGCTCTTAGATAAGATGGAAAAAATGTCTAAGAATTGACCAAAATCTTGCAAATGTTAATGTCATAAATAAACTTGGCCAATTTTGGAACTGCAGGGAAAGAAGTATTCTCAGGGAAAATCATATTAGCAATCAGAGAAGAGTTTTAATATATAGTTTGATGATGGTATAACAGATGATAGAGTTTTAAGAGTTGGGGAGTGTTGGGAGGAGATAAAATACGGGATATATAGAGACATAGACATTTTATCATTCTGGAGAAGATGAGTAACATGAGAAACTTAACCTTCTTGAAATGAAAACATAATCAGGGGGAAAAACAGTCAAAATCAAATTAGACCTAATAGGTTCAAAGCTGGTGGTAAGGCTGCAAGTGTTAAGGGGTAAAGAAAGGGGTGGCTTCTGGGACATGCTCTTGATCTTTGTTATTTGAAGCAATAAGTTTTAGGGCAGTGTCAACTTAGTCCTAGCATGCTTAGTCCTAGACCTCTGTAGACACAGCTGAGAATTTCTGGGGAGGCCTAATATTACCCAAAGCACACATGCCCCCTTTAATATGGTAAAAAACCTTCAGGAGATGTGCATTTATATGAAGATGGTAGAATTATTGTCTGCAGATTTCCCTGCCCCCCACCTCCTAGCTCTTCCATTTCTTACCCTGTGTATAGCAAGAGAGGAACAAAGAAGCCCACCTACACATATACTAATAGACTTAGTAGTACAAAGGGGCTTTTTGTGCAATGCATACCTAGCTTGTATCAGCTGCCATTGTAACAAAAAATAAGTATAGTCTTACTTTAAAATTTTTCTTTCAGCTTTTTAATTCTAGTCACTTGAAAGCTTTTGACTGGGGCAGTCCTGATCTGAACTTGGTTCATTTTAATCAGGTACATAATTATGTATAAATTAAAAATTATCTCCCTGATCAATTGAAATAATTTTTACTATTAAAGATTCATCTGTGAAACCCAAGAGTACAGTAGTACAGTGAGAAGGACCAGTAAACGAAGATCATCATGATTTGGATCCATATGTCCATTTCCAACCGAAGTGGCTTTTCCATATTCTCTATGTATTTTAACAACAAATATCTTAGATAAGTCTAGAGAAGTTGACAAGCAGTAGAATAATTCACCATGCCTCAAGAGGAAAAATACTGTATTTATAATGTACATAGCTCTGAGTTTAGTTAAATAAGAAATAGAAAGCAAGCATACCATTGTTCTTGACCCTAAGACTGTTGTGTTTGGGAAGATAAGATAAACACATGTACTAATTAGAAAAAGTAGAAGTTACTGAGAAGCTGATAAAAACTGTCTGAGTATGATGACAAATGTCTTGAAATACTAGAACCCAAGTCTATCTACTTCAAAATTTATGCTTCCCCACCATACTTTTCTGCCTTCACTAAGCTCTAATGCCTGAAGTAGTTTGCTTGTATAAATATTTGAAGTAAAATACATAGATCTAATTCATTAAAATAATACTGAACTTGGCTGCCAATGTTTATCATTTACTGATAAACATACTGACTCATTTGAAAAGACCCTGATGCTGGGAAAGATTAAAGGAGGGAGGAGAAGAGGATGATAGAGGATGAGATGTTTGGATGGCACCACATCCAAATGGACACAAGTTTGAGTAAATTCCGGGAGTTGGTGATGGACAGGGACGCCTGGCGTGCTGCAGTCCATGGGGTTGCAAAGAGTCATATATGACTTAGCAACTGAACTGAACTAAACTGATATTGACAGTTATATAAGCCAAAGAAAAATTTGATACTCTGGATCAGAACAAACTCTAGTTTTAATTTTAATTTAATTAATAAGTAAAAATTACAATATTCTTTCATACTCCTTGCTTCCTTAATAGCAATTATTTTAGAGTAAGCTTACTTTTAAATTGTACTTTAAATTATAATTTAAAGAATTAGTAAATAACACTTTATATGTATTATTCTCCGTGAAAACTCTTACTTTCACTTATTTGCATTTAGACAACTTCTCCATTGTACAATGTGACAAACATGAATGTGCCAACTGCAACTTGGAGTGGTGAAAATGACTTGTTGGCTGATCCTGAAGATGTTAAAATTTTACTTTCTGAAATCACAAATCATATTTACCATAAAACTATTTCTTACTATAATCATGTAGACTTCTTGTTTGGATTAGATGTATATCATCAAGTTTACAGTGAAATCATTGATATTATTCAAGGCAACCCATAAAGAACCATGGTATTCTATGTTGAAGGATTTATATAATTTCTATTAAAATCCAATTATTTTGTTCTTACTATGTGTACTTTTCCAGTTATTTATATAAAGTTTGGAATTTTTTCTTCATTTTTTGCATTGCCCGTTGGCTCTCCATTTATAAAGTAGTGGCATCTATTACACTAGGGGTAATGGCAGATTATAACTCAGCCCAAAGCAGTCTGTTGAGTTTCTAAGTAGAATGTAAATAACTAAAAATAGAAACAATAGTCTTAAATATTTTCAATTACAGGAGAAGGTTTTTTGAGAAAGGTGGAGGTTTTTTCTTCAAGAAATATGAGAATATAAGAATTTTTAGAAATATAGAGTTTGGAAGAATAATTGCTGATATGAAAGATAATTTTTCTGTAATCAAGTAGGGCCTTTTGGGGCCTTCCCAGGACAGACCCTGCCCACCACCTCCATGTCTTCTGGCTGCCTCATGTTTATAGAAAAGCTTTAGTGATCCAGGCCTTCCCTGAGTCACAAAATGCTGGCTCAAGAGTTAATGTTTAAAATAATGTGAATATGTAGCAACAAAAAATAGCAGTTGGGCCAGGAGAACTCATAACAATTTAAACAATAAATCAACCATATAGTAGATTCTTTAGTTACTTCCTGAAGAACATAGTATCTGATGCACACAACCTCTGATATGCAGATAACACCACCCTAATGCAAAAAGTGAAGAGGAACTAAAGAACCTTGATGAAGGTGAAAGAGGAAAGTGGAAAAGTTGGCTTAAAATTTAACATTCAAAAAACTAAGATCATGGTATCTGGTCCCATTACTTCATGGCAAATAGAAGAGGGAAAAATGGAAACAGTCTATTTTCTTGGGCTCAAAAATCACTGTGGACAGTGTCTGCAGCCATGAAATTAAGAGATGCTTGCTCCTTAAAAGAAAAGCTATGACACACCTAGACAGCATGTTGAAAAGTAGAGATATCACTTTGCTGACAAATAGCCGTAGAGTCAAAGCTATGATTTTTTCAGTAGTCACATACAGGTGTGAGAGTTGGTCCATAAAGAAGGCTGAGTACCAAAGAAATGATATTTTCCAACTGTGGTGCTGTAGAAGACTCTTGAGAGTCTTTTGGACAGCAAGGATATCAAAACAGTCAATCCTAAAGGAAATCAACCCTGAATATTCAACAAAAGGACTGATGTTGAAACTGAAGCTCCAATACTTTGACCACCTCCAATGGGAAGAGCCAATTCATTGGAAAAGACCTGATGCTGGGAAACACTGAGGGCAGGAGGAGAAGGGAAGGGACAGAGGGTGAGATGGTTGGATGGCACCATCCAATGACTCAATGGACACGAATTTGAGCAAACTCTAGGAGATAGTGAAGGACAGGGAAGCCTGGCGAACAGCAGTCCATGAGACCACAGAGACAGACATAACTTAGCAACTGAACAACAACAAATTATTTTACAGACACTGAAATGAAGTGAAGTGAAGTTGCTTTGTCATGTCCGACTCTTCGCGACCCCATGGACTGTAGCTTACAAGGCTCCTCTGTCCATGGAATTTTCCAGCAAAGAGTACTGGAGTGGGTGGCTATTTCCTTCGCCAGGGGATCTTCCCGACCCAGGGATCGAACCCAGGTCTCCCGCATTCCAGGCAGATGCTTTACCAGGTGAGCCATCAGGGAAGCCCAAGACACTGAAGTCCCTACCAAATGGAAGCTGACTGCATGATGACCATGAGCATGTAGCTCCCAGGCCAGCTGGATTGACAATGTTATCCCAAAGGACACCCGCCTATTACCACATCATCAACCAATCAGAGAATTATGCACAAAATGATAATTTACTGTGTACTCTCTCCCTCACTTTGCCTTTAGCATTTGCTTTCCCTGAAATTCACTATGGAGTTCAGGTCTTTTAGGCATTGCATGTACAATAGTTTGCTCATTTTTATTACTGAGTAGAATCCCGTTGTGTGGATATATACTACATTCTATTTACCACACTTTATTGATTAAAATAATTTTACAGGAACTTGATAAAGTCTTGAAATCAGGGAAAGTTCTCCAATTTATTACTCTTTCTTAAAATTCTTGAATAATCTGAGTTCCTTGTCAGTCATAGATTTTAGTATTAGCTTGTCAGTTCAGTTCAGTTGCTCAGTTCAGTTCAGTTCAGTTCAGTCGCTCAGTCGTGTCAGACTCTTCGTGACCCCGTGAACCACAGCATGCCAGGCCTCCCTGTCCATCACCAACTCCCGGAGTCCACCCAAACACATGTCCATTGAGTCGGTGATGCCATCCAACCATCTCATCCTCNATGTACTCCTTTCCCTATTTGGAACTAGTCTGTTGTTCCATGTCCAGTTCTAACTGTTGCTTCCGGACCTGCACGCAGATTTCTCAGGAGGCAGGTCACGTGGTATGGTATTCCCATCTCTTGAAGAATTTTCTACAGTTTGTGGTGATCCACACAAAGACTTTGACATAGTCAATAGAGCAGAAGTAGATGTTTTTCTGGAATTCTCTTGCTTTTTTAATGATCAAATGGATGTTGGCTATTTGATCTCTGGTTCCTCTGCCTTTTCTAAATCCAGCTTGAATATCAGGAAGTTTACTGTGAAGCCTGGCTTGGAGAATTTTGAGCAAAATATCTGCTGAAATTTTTACTGCAGTTATATTCAACATATTGAAAAATTTGAGGAAAACTGACTTTGTAAAACACTGAAATGATGTCAGCATCAAGGTGGTGAAAGGTTTGCTTTTTTGTCCTCCCTTTTGACAACTAAACATTGGCAACCATGCACAAACAAAATATTTCTTTGAGGGTTGTGGAATCCAGCCCAAGGGACCCAGGAGAAACCTCATTTCCTGTGTATCTGGTAACAGGCAGGTATACCTCCATATGGGCTCCAGAATTAGCAGAAGCTGGCAAACTTGCAGCAGTCTCTCTAAGCTGAGGTTGGGGAAAACCTGGGAATATCATCTTGGGCAGATACCCCCAGACTTTGTAGAAATCCAGCCATCTGGAAGGAAGACTTCAGTATACCACTGGAGAACAACAAAAAACCAAAATCCCCATGAGTATGGGCACATTGGAGGGTTAAGAACTTTGTTAGGGCTACCACTATACTTTGTCACACATTTAAAATTTTAAGAGGGTAGAACTCATGTTGTGTGTTCTTAGCACAATAAAATAAAATTTCAATAGACATATAAAACTTCATTTTGTTTTTATATGCTATTTGGTATGTCATTTTATGAATATAATAACTCAAAAACTCTGGTAAAAATTGTTTTGTGCAGAATTTTCAAAACTATACCAGTAGACCTTACTGGTTATTTTAAGATAAATGGACATCATTATGAGCTAAATGCTCCTACCCAAGTCATGGTGAAAGACTTGACAGCTAGAGTCTGGATTTTTTTTTTTTCTCCCAGTTGCTCAGTCCTGTCTGACTTTTTGCGACCCCATGGACTTCAGCCCTCCTGGCTCCTCTGACCATGGGATTCTCCCGACAAGAATACTGGAGTGGGAAGTCATTCCCTTTTCCAGGGCTGGTCCAGGTCTCCTGCACTGCAGGTGATTTCTTACCATCTGAGCTACCAGGGAAGCCCAGAGTCTGGAATACTCAGAGAATAAAGATACAGGGAAAGCAGAGTTTGACTAGCTGATAGATCAAGGAGAAAATATCTCTGAGGATGGTTTTGGAGCCAGATCCTTTTATGAATTGACTGTTAATGCAGTATTTGACTTGCAATTTGACAAATATAAGAACTTACCTGAAATGTAACCACTGAACATTCTTAGGAAAGGTCATCCAAAATACACAGATACATGTATATAAATGTAGATAGAGAAGGGAAAAAAAGAATTAAATTTTTTACTTACCCAGAAAGCAGAAAGCATCCACATTTGGTGACAGTAAGTATGACTCTCTGGCATGGTAAAATTTATTTATTTTACTTTAAAAATTAATATATTTAATTGTGAAGTCTAGTTCTATTTTAGGTAAAATATAATTCTCCATTAAATTTTTCAGCCTTGATTATATGCATATAAACCTTTTATGAAAAAGTTTCTTTCCTCTTTTTCTACTTCTCTAGGGACTTAATTTTGGAGAATTTGAAAAAGGAAAGACTAAGCAATGATCTGAATGTGTAACAGGAGCAGGCTGCCTTGCCACTTGCTCTAGCTCCTAGTTTCTAACTTAAAATGAAAGCTGACTTATTCTCAAATCAGTAAGGGGAGAGTGGCCCTCTAATAAAATATCTATGAGAAGACAGAAGATGTTTGAAAACATATTCAGTATTTGTTAGCAAATGGATGTGGAGTCTTCTGAAAAATTCATTTATTTTACTAATTCCAATAAGATACAAGGAATGTTTCTGGGGATTATAGTTATCAGAAGAGGCCAGGTTGGAACTTGACCAGATTAGGTCCCTCACAGGCACCAATCCTGTTAGCCTATGGAGGTCATCCTCTTTTACTTTCTCCCTCTCACCCCCAAATGTTAATTTCCCTTCAGCCTTCTCTCTTAGGCTACCTCCACTCAAAATCTGAGGGCTTTGAGTTGAGATCTTTACAGTATTTGGTCTAAACAGCAAACACTAATTTTTAGTACTTTAAGACAAGTTCTAGGAAGCCTTTGATGAGGTTTGTACAGTGAGTGAGAAAGAATTTTATTATATAGTTGAGGAAAACATAAGGGACCATCGGTAGCTTTTAGGAACAGTGGTATCATTTATTTTTTCATTTAATTTTAACTGTTCTTTCGAAAGTATAGTGCTATTACAAGAAGACATTGAATTTGAAGAGTACTCTTAATAATATGATTAACTTTTATTTATTGAACAGCAAATACTTATTAGAACCAAGGACTGAGCAGGATGCTCTATATCTACATTGTTACCTAGTCATTCTTCTTTCTGAATAAGTCTAAAGTTTCAGTTCACCTATGGGATTTTAAGAGCAAACATGTAGGCCTTGAGTCAACCAAAAGTA